TAATTATAATTATTATATAATACATTATAATTATAATATAATATAATATATTATTATATATGTGTAAAGCTTTTATTAAAAATAAAAATTAAATAAAAACAACTTAAATTATTTCACACTAAAAATTATTATAATTATTAAAGTGTAAAGTAATACTAAAATTATATTATATTGTGTTATTTTACACTAATTTTTTTATAGTGTACAATAATAAAATACACGGATTAAATACACAGAGTTTAAAATAATAAAAATAGGTGTAAAATAATTTAAGTCATTTTCATTTTATTTTTATTTTTAACAAAACTTTAACTCGATTGACCAATTACTCTAATATACAGAATAATAAATGTTTTTATTTATTTTTATTTTAACAACTAAAGAAAAAAAACTCTTTAAAATGTATCATTTACATTTAGCCATATAACATATTCATCCCCTATATTCATAAAATATAGGGTTTCGCGGACTTGTCAAACAGAAATATGATAATCCTTTGAGAACCGAGTTGCAGTACTAATGAGAACCTCGAAAAAGATACTAACTATATTGCAGAACTGTTAATTGGCGATGGTATCAATCTGATTGCGGTAACTATCCATATATGTTATAGATTGATAGGAATTAACGGATATAACAAGGAGAGAAAATTTTACTGCTTACAGAGTTATTTGTATATATATCTATGTTACATGCAAGTAAAAATTACTTCATAAATAGCTGGTTATGCTATTTAACAAAAACCATTATAGTTTCGGCATGTAGATGATCCTTTTTAAATCCTTTTAAATTCTGCATATAGATGATAAACATACGATATGATCAAATTTTCATACAACTTTATCTGACTATAGTTGGTTGCAGTGGCAGGTCATTAGATAACTTCCATGCAACTCAATTAGCGATTTTTGGCCGTTTAGAAGAGTAGAGACTAAATCCATCTCGCTGAATTTAGGTAATTTAATAGATCTTTCATCTTCACCGTTGAGCAGTCTGATAAACTATCAAAGATGTATTTTCCTAAGAACCTATATCTTCTGGACGCCAAAGCCGGGCATTCACAGAGAAAATGTATTAATGTTTCTTTCGCCTACGGGTTTCCACAACTTCTGCAGTGAGGGTTATGGGGAATGCGTAGTTTCACTGCGTGGCTTCCCACACACCAATGACTAGAAAGAATTGCAGTAAGCCTTGCTGTGTTCACGCGGTCTCTTTTAATGAGTTCCGAGGATTTATTTTTATTATAGGTGGACCATGTTTGACTATAGTTTAATATATTTAAATATAACAACCAAACATTATGTTCATGATTTTAGCACGTTTTTGCTATTTGCTATATCAGTACAATTGTTTAACTAGATAACACTGTTAGTTATTTTTGGTTTTTTGAAAGCTATAAAAATTTCTTTAATATGTTAAAAAATAACTGATATATATATAACTGAATGTTATATAAAATAAGTTAAAAATAAATAAAAACATTTTTATTATACTTGTTTTATAATGTCATATAATTTAATAACCGAAAAAGTTATTTTTGAATGATGAAGTATTTTTAAAACATAATCATAATTATATTATTTAAAACATAAAATTTAAATAAAATAAAAGTTAAATTTAAATAAAATCAAAAATTAAATTTAAATAAAATAAAAACAAAAAACTTAAAGAAGTGCAACTAAGATAGAAAATTGACAGATAAAGCATAATTATTGAACCTTTTTTAAAAACGTTCCCACAAATGAAACTACAGAACATTCAACTATGCCAAATGCCAAAGTGCAGAGAGGAGATTATGTATAAGAAATAATGCAATATACGAAGAATATAACAGAAATCATATATAACAGAAACAAAGTGCAGAATTAAAAACAATTATTTCAAGTAAAATGAACAAAATGTGTTGTATGTGGACATGTTTTAAAATTAATAAATTAACTTTTAAAGTTTTAAATTAAAGAAAATCTTACAGTAAAAGTGGATGTATCTGTACTCAGAGGCATGTGATTGCGATAACCATAAGGAGCCTCACAGCCGTCACATGGATGTAAAAGTCTATTATTGTTATAGTTGTTATTTTTTAAAGTTGTGGTATTGTTGATGGTGTTTTTGTTGTTGTTGTTGAAAATTTTTTTGTTAGTTCGTATTAAATTTTTTTTTTTAACATAAGAAAAAAAAAACAATGCAAACAACTTGTATTAATAGGCGTAAAATTATTGTAAATTATTAAATATAAATTAATAGAATATAAAATTTTCAATCTTAATTGGTTAAATATTTAACTCATTTAAATAAAGTTAAAAAGAAAAGTTAATTAAGTGCAAGCTAAATTGGACTGCCTACATAAAATGTATATACTAATTAAAATTTTATTTCATGTTTAATACAAATAATTTAATTAGCTTTTAATAAAATAAAATAGAATAACAAATAAGTCGGAATTAATAAAGTTAAATGATTTCTTAGTAAGAATACTACAAATAAATGTAAAGTATTATCTCCATAAAAAGCTAACCTAAGAATATATTTAGGTTTATCATTTAGTTTAAAGATAATCCTTGAAAAATTATTTATATATTACGGATTAAATTAAATTTTTTAATACTTAGTTAAATTTTAAGAATAATAATATTAAAACCCTATTTATAATACTTAAGTGTTTTTATTAACAATTTTGTTAATGCAGAATTGCAAAACACATTTCATTTTTGCAGTACGTTATAAATAAAAAAAATATAAATATAATAAATATAGATATAATAAATTTAAATATAATACATATAAATATAATAAATATAAATTTAATAAATATAAATTTAATAAATATAAATATAAAAATAATATAATATAATATAAAATATAAATAATCACAATAAATATTAATATTATAAATATAATAAATATAAATATAATATATATAAATATAAAATATATAAATATAATACAATAAATATTAATATTATAAATATAAATATCTAATAAATATATCTAATAAATATAAATATACATCTAATAAATATAAATATAATGAAAAAAAATTATGAAAAAATGAGTAGTATATAATTAAAAAAACATAGTAAAAAAATAATAAATAATAAAATTATTATAATTCATTTTACATATTTAGAAGTTATAAAATCTTTTAACTAAAAGAAATTATAAATAAAAAAATTTTAATAGCACTAATAGAAATATGTTTGCGGCATTCAGATAATAATAAATATTTCTTCACTAATATCCTTGTACTATAATGTAAGCCTAAGAGTTGCTGGACATTGAATAACAGACTCTCTTTCATATGTTTAATACATTATTGCACTCTATAATAATTTATCAAAACATTAAACAAAAATTCCTTCCGTCATATTTAAATATTAGAAAATACATTAAATAAATAAATATTTACATTACAACAACATACATAATTAACAAATACATCTATATATACTATGAACTTCGCAGTCATATTTTTATCTTATAATAATTAATAATAATATAATAAAAGCTATAAACAAAAATGTAAACAAAAGTTTTTGGGACTATATTTAAATATTAGGTAATACATAAAATAAATAAATAAATAATAAATATATTACCACAACACACTAAGCAAATGTATCTATATTTACTATAAATTTTATATAAAGTTATATTTTAAACGTGTTTTAATCATAATATAATAAAATATATATAAAATTAATACATATTTACGATATAGTAATTTATCTATATTCGACAATGCAGCAAATAAATAAATAATATCTTTATTACAACACGCTAATAACTATATATATTATGAACATTTAAGTTATATTTTAATGTTATATTATTTAATAATAATTTAATAAAATATACAAAAAGTATAAAAGTGTTTAAAAAAAAAAATATATATAATATTTAAAAATGTATATATAATACACAATAAATAAATAAATAAAAAATAAATATATATAAAACAAAATATAAATAAAATATAAAAGTATGTAAATAAAATATAAAAATTTATAAATAAAATATAAAAATATATTAATAGAATATGTAAAATATAACATTTCGAAATTTAATTTTAGTTTCCAATTAAAATATGAGAAAGAAACTATTTTTAAACAAAACAGTAACGAATTGCAACAACAAAAATTTTTATTTTTTATTAACAGAATTTATTGGTTGATCGCACAACTGTTTTCAGTATTGTCAGTTACTCATTATTATTGGTCTTCGCAAATAACTTTGAGCCTGAAGAAAGTCGCTGAGACTGCCAAATATTGCACACAGCTTTGCTATTTAAACTCAAAGATTTTTATTATTCGCAGAAGTCCAGACATCACAGCACTTTACTATTTTTAAAACCAGCTTATAAACCAAACTTAATCAAATTTTATAATTATTGTTGTATGCTTTTCTATACTGTTCTGTTGTATATTTTTATTTTATATATACATTTCTCATTTATAAAAAATTTATACATAAGTTTAATGATATACTGTAATAATATGAGCTTTTGTTGTGTACAATTTTATAATAATTTTTTCACATTAACTAAAAATAATTACTCACTTCTTTGGAATTGTAGAAACGTAAGGCATCAGCACCTTATCAACGAATGAGCCAAAACCCAAACGGAAATTCGATGTTATATTACGCATAGTCTCCGACAACAAATCACCCAATGCTGACAATTTATTTTTGTCATCTTCCATGGATTTAGACAAGTCCATCAAATAATAAAGATCAACTGGATAATCTTCTGCTTGTGAGTAACGGAAACTCAAGGGATACACTTCATCTAAAAAACAATTTCAAATAATATATTATACAATATTATATATTAAATTATGTATATACATACTTATGCGCAACTTTAAGCTAACACGTTGTGGACTAATTTGTACAATGTCGCTGCCTGCTGCAGCGCTAGATGCAGAGCCAGCAGCAAAACCACTTGCTCCGCCACCATAAGCAGCACCGTATGAACCCGAACTAGAACTGCTGTATGAGGAATTGGCTGCATAAGAACCACCATACATCATTTGCCCACCGGCGGCACGCGCCGCACCACCACGTGTAAGTTCACGGTTTATAATGAATTGCTCTTCTGTTTTCGGATACCAAATATATTGTTCCGGACAGATATTTGAGTAACTATGATCGAAGCAGCGTGGTTTGTCACCATGGTCGGGTTGCATGCACCAAGCACAGCTTTGTGTTTGTATGCATTCATGGCACGTGCGCTTATTGACGCAAGGATTCTGTGTTTTGTCGGCTAATTGAGCCTCAACGGAAAAAACGCAACTGCAGGCGATGAAGAGCAGCACCACCTCGGCCAGGAAGCGCTGTTTGGAAAACATATTTGTTTGGTTGTGTGTAACTGATTTGCTTGTGTAACTGATTAATAATGCTGCAATAGAAACGGTGTTAAATTAATAAAATGCAATTTAAAGGAAAAAAAAAATAATTATTAAAAAAAGTCAGAAAAAATTACGTAAGTAATTCAATACGTTGACCAACAATAAAATTAATTGTTTTAAATAAATTTTTATTTTAAACAATTTGTATTTTATCAACAACCGGTAAATAATTCATCGTAGGCTAGGCCAGGCAAACGAGATAAGCTCCACGCTGAAAGCAAAAATGCTTTAAATAAGTTTTATGTCACCGAAGCAAATCTACTTGACTTGACGTTTGCTAAACAAACACTGATAAAACCACAAAGTAAAAATACTAAAAATGCAAAATATTACGATAAAACATATTAACTAAATACTCATAGCAGTTAAATTGAAGTAAATTTAATAAAGAAAAATTCAAGCCAATAACCAAATACATTTGGCGTAGTTGGAGCAGGTGAGAGATGCGCGGATTGGGGACACATAACATAACATAACAAAATATTAATAAATTTAATAAAAAAATTAAGATTGAAAAAAAGAATTATAATAATATCGAAATAACAGCAACAACAAAGCAACTCGCAGATACGCCAATGTGTTTTCATATACAATCACCAAGATTTCGAATGAATCAAATCACTTCAAAAATGACTCATCCGCATGAGAAGTGACCGAGAGAAAAAATTAATAAATTAAAAATAAAACAACGAAAACGTAAGGAAATGACGGAATACGTGTGTACATAATTACGACAACTCAAGGTGGGAGATTCATCGACACACATGGATTACGTACATAAGCAATTGCAGGGGACGTGAATCCGTAGTGCACCAACCACCAGAAATTTTAACAAATTTTCAACAAAAATGTAAATGAAAAATTCTTATATATGAAAATATATCACCAATGGTTTATTCAAGTTAAAATCTATTAGCTACGGTGGGGAACATATATGTGGTATAGTCCCACATATAGGGTATGGCAACAAATTATGTGTAATGCTTTACATGTTACCTGCTCTATAAAATCTCTGCGGTTCACAACAACAATAACAATATGGAAAACATATAGTATTAACGAAACTTAACATAGCACTATCTAATCTCAGAGTAGACACAAGTCGTACGGGGCGATATGCAAAACTTAAATCAATCATCGAATAATCAGCGAAGCTTGTGAGGCATACATAAATCAGTCAAAGAGATGGCAGAGACTCTGTAGAAACCCCCCAGCTAAAAAATTGTCAGCGAAGCTTGTGAGGAATACATAAATTAGTCAAAGAGAAGGGAGGGACTCTGTAGAAACCCCCCCAGTTAAGAAAGAGTAAAAGAACCCAGTTGCACTAACTCGAAAAAAACTTCAATATAAGAAACTTAACTGCAAGCTTTTAATTTCATACCTTACTGTTTGTATACTAAAAGACCTTAAAATAGATCCGGTCAAAAAATACATAAGGGACAGAGCTCTGAAGCTATATGCGAAAACCGACAGGCTGCCCTACTTAGCACTACATAATCTCAGAGTAATCACTAACCGCACTGGGCGGTACGCAGATCTTAGATTAATCACTGAATAATCACGAAGATTATCAGGAATACTCAAATTAGTCAGCGAGATGGGCGGGACTCTGCAGAATCCCCCCAGCTATCATAGAGTAAAAGTGTCCAGATGTACTAACTCGGAAAAGGCTTAACATAACTTAACATAAATAAGCTTACTGTTTGGAAAATAGGTTGATTTAATATATAATTATCTGAATGTACTCCTATAAATTATTTCAAAATCAATAATAGAAAATTTCATACCATAAGTAAATTGTTCTATTCCATTTAATTCATGTCAATTTCCACAAAATCAGAACCTAATAAATGATCAAAGCTTTAGTGCTGTCTAATAGCATTTAAAATAAAACATTGAAGAAGAATAAAATAATATATGATCAATTGCTTAAAAAAGAGTTTTAATAGTACGTTTCCACTAGCTTCGTTAGATAGGTTAACTGACTTGAGATTCAAGTAATTCAAGCAATCTTAAGTAAGTTAACTGGTTTAATGAAGCCAGTGGAAACATACTATTAGGCTTAGAAATTACTGTAAAAAATAAAAACATTTATTTAATATTAAAAAATAATATTATTCGTTTCAATCCTATATTCAAGTATGATATGGTATCCTATAAATAGTCGACTTAGGTTAAAACGTTGCTTATACACCAGATAAAGAGAACTACCAAAATCTAATTTTTGGTATCTAATTGACACGCAGACAATATCAAAGAGAACAGCTACGATTTCTCCATTTAAGTAATAAAACAACATAAAAAAGAACAGATACGACCTTCCATTTATATAAAAAATTGAACTAAGCTGACAAATTGGTATGTCCCCAATTTTAAGAATTGCAGTTCTGTAAGATCGGTGGAAAAAGAGGATCCATTATTTTTATTATGTTAATTTCAATTCTTAATCCCACATCCTATAAGAACCTGCTGTAATCTACATTATTAGATGTTATAGTAAATGGTAATATAGAAATGGATAGATAGGTAGATAGTCATCAGATAACTGAGGTAAAAATATATCAACAAACAGTGAATGTGAATTTGCTTATCAAGGAAAATAATGTTTATGTTATATAACATATATATATGTCAAGAAACATCGAAAGATGGAATCATATATATAAGAGGACTATATAAATAATAATTAAATATATGTAAAAACTATATAAACAGTTTTTTATTTTAAAAGTTTACATTAAATAATAAATAAATAATAAAAATGAGTAAACTCAAAACAAGTAAAGTAATAAAAATTCCATTATAGGAGAACCTAAGAACTTATGACTAATTAATTCTATTACGTTGGACATAAGATATTTATAATTGTTTTTTTTGTTTATTTTATGAATGCAATAGCTTTGGAACTGCAATTTAAATCCAGCTGTTATTTTTTTTTGTCTAGCTAACAACTGGTAGAGTGAAATTGATGCTTTCTGGTATAAGTTATTGCAAAGCATAATAAAATTTCAGAAAAATTAGATCTATTTTAGAATATTGTCTTGATTAAGAACAGAATATGGTGCAGCAATATAAAAATATTTATAACTGTTATGTTCAAAGAAGTATATTGATTGTCAAGTACATTCGTTTCCATTCTCTGAATAGTCTATCAACTAATCAACAAAATGGAATTATGGATTAAGTTCAAAACGATCGGCATATACACAATCTAGACCTCCTTAAGGTCCCAAAGTTCAACTACAATACGGTTTTAAAACATTTGCATAAAGATGGTTACAAAAAGAAATTTGATGTTCAAATATGGATAGTGTGATACACTAATAAGAAACGAACCTTTATATTCGAATGGAATAATAACAGGATATTTTTAAAGAATGTGGTAACAGGAACTGTTATGAGATCGGAGATAGCAAATTGTATGAAAAATCATATTTTTCGGGTCTTCATGTCGGGTCTTCTTTACTGTAAAGTTTTAGTCAAGTTTAGATTCTTTGAACACATCATAAACAATTTTTTCTTTTTTTTTATATCATTTGATCCAATATTTTTTATTAAAATCATGAAATTTCTTTCAACTTATAATAAAAATTGAATGAGGTAAACTAATTTAAATTAAATAGTATACTAATTATTTAAACTAACTTATCCTCTCTACTACGAACGATCCTAATAAATAGTTGTCATATAAAGTTTAATTTAACAATGGTTGAGATAAGGCTTGTGTTATCGAAACCAAATTCTGTTCTTATAAGATCAGTTTGAATATATAACATTTGATAATTGTGGTCAGAACTTCTCCCTAAGGTCATGCCAAAAGTGTTTACTCACATTCACACGGCAAAACGTTTGTCGCTTTCGATTGGCAAATCTAGTTTCGCTCTCGATCTCTTATATTTTGTTTAAATTTGTGGCCTAATCAAACAACAAGTTATGGGTAATTCCAGTATTATTTGAGTTACACATATGCTGGCAAATCAGTACCGTTTATTTTATTAATGTATTTATTTTTAGCTTATTTTGCAATATGCTTTTAATTTAATTTATAAATATTAAAAATGCCAAAAACAAAACAAATTGTCAATTAACATAAAACAGCTGTTGATTTTAGAGTGAATTTATTAATCTAACAAAATATCTAGAGTGTTATAAATAAAGCTCTTGTGTTTACCTTAATCTCGGGTGAAAAAATTACCGCAAAGAAACCAAACAAAAATGAAAACTATGTTAAAAGCAAATCTCTAGTTAAAGAGTTACCCTAGAGTATTATGATCTAGATTCATGCAAAGAAGCATATTTTACTAGTGTCATAACGTAAAGAAAAAGAAGCGTTAAGTTTTCTTTATAGCCTTTCACACATGCACACGGCAAAACTCAATCTAAATACCCAGCTCAAGATTAATTCAGCATTCACACGACATTTTTACTAAATGTAAGCGACAATCAACACTCGGAGGAAACCCCACAAATAAAGATTTATAAATTCAAAGGAAAATACTGATGTTCTTAAATATAAATTTTAAATTTAAAGGAAAAATGAAAAACGAAAATTGCTTTCAGAAAGGAATTTTTAAACTTGATTTAGATTTATAGGAATGTTAATTCCTGTCGTGTGAATAGGTTTTCATAAATGTAGTAGTTGCTGTAAATATTTAATTAGGATTTTAAATCTACTTTACGTTATTTATCATGTACCCTCATTTATGCTAGAAGTTTAAGTAAATGTTAGTTTTTATTATCATCAACATCTAACATTTCCAGATATGACGTCATGTACTTTTATATAAACAAGAGCAGAAACAGGTAAGTCAACACACTAGCATCTTCAGGAAAAATAGGTTAATGCCTTTTTTTGGTGTAATTCTAATTATGGACAATAAAATTGTAGTTGAAACCAAAGCATTCTGATTTTGAGATTTTTTTATAATTACTAAATAAAATGATAAAGTATTTAAAAATAACAAAGCAAAGAAAATATTGAATATTGAAATTTTCGTGAAAATTAATAATCCAATTGTTATCTTATCCTTAAGTGAAGCGAAAAACGTCATCTTAGAAAGCTAACATACACATTCTTTTCTAGGAAATTGCATGAATCCAAACAACTTCGGTTTAATTGACATGACATCGCGCCAATGACTAATCGCAATATGGTATTAACTCTCAACCAACTTTGCTATGCCATATTTATGGCTCATACTTATGCCACTTGAGATCAATACTCTGCTGCTCTTATACTTTTTACACTTTCAAAACTTATTGCAATTATAATTTAAGAATCAAACTGTACTAGATCATTTATATGCCCTAAAAACAAAAAAAAAAAACTAATGTTCATATATAAAAAATAGTCTTTAACCCCACGCATTTGCAACGGAGCAACTAAAAACAACATCAAACACCTCTGAGAGATACGAAAAATAAATAGAAGCAAAAAAAAGATCGCTTCGACATCTGCAGCATAGAAATCCAAATAAATAGAAAACAGATTGATAAAATTATGCTTATAAACACTGCCTCCGCGTCTCCGAACGAGTCCATACACCGATGTGGGCGTTCTAACCAGTTCTGTGTGTTGCCTCATTGGCCAGCGGAGTCTCGACTTTTTGCAATTTCCTTCAGTTTAAACACAATTTAATTTTCATATTTACGCTTATTTATGTTTGCAATTTTACTCGCTTTCATTCAAATAACTTATTTTCATTCAATTATTCATTCTTTAAACAATTTTCGTAATCACTTAATATTTTTCTTTATGCCAAAGATGAAATCATCTTTTTTTATTCTATTAAATTTTTTATTTGCACATTTTTCTAGCAAAAACCAATGTTCTTACGTAATTTTCACTTTCGCAATAAAATTTTTCACTTACACTTTCGTTTTATATTAAACACTCTACTATTTTCATTAAATTTAAATATTATTTAACTAAATTTTATTCCATCAGGGCGTAATGTATACGATGTCTTTGTTTCTCTCGATTTCGATTTCCACTTCGACTTCACCACCTTCCTCGTACAAAAGTTAAAAACAGTCTGAAAAAATACCAAATGGAATGTTCAATTTTATGCTGCCATACACTCAGAGTTGCATTTGAAAGGTAAGAAATAATATATAGAAATTGTAAGTTGTGAGTTTCTGAAGTATGGCAAAAAATGCATGCTGGCCTATATTCGCTAAGCGAGGCATTGGTATCACTGTTACAATCTGTCAAGTGTTATATTTTGACAAATAGCAAAACTAGTATAACGCAAGCAAATTACATTGCGTATAAAAATAAATAATTAACATAAATTGAAAATTAAATTGAATACAAAATTAAAACAAATGGTAAAATGTTGAAAATTTCAAAATAAAACACTGAAATTTTACTTTTTTTCCAATTTTCTAATTTATGAAATTTTTGAATTTTGTTTGAATTTGTATGTTGTTGTTGTTGTTGTTGTTGTTGTTGTTGTTGTGATTTGAGTTAGTGCTATTGCGCACTTTTACTCCATTGTGGCTGGGGGGCTTATCCCTGCTCCACACTAAACTTTAACTATACTAGAATCATTATAATTTATTTATTGTCTAAGAAATGTACGTAGACTTCTTCTGCTTCTTTACTTTTGCATATAATTGTGTTTAATTTTTTTTTAAAGAATAACTGTTCATTTTTTATATTGGAACTTTATTGTTGTTTCTTTGGTTAAAATAAAACAGAAAATAAAAATGAATTTGAGTAAAAATTAAAAAAGTTATGCGTAATACAAGAAAAATTTTGTGAATATCCGTAGACTTTTTCTGCTATGTGTATATTATATGTCCCAACATATATTTTGTTTACGTGATGTAATATTATTAACTCAATAAGGTGCGCACAAACTATTTATACAAATCTTATATGGCGTTTACTCTGGCTAAAAATGGCTAATTTTGATTGAGCCATTTGAAAGTGTTTACATTTGTTGTAATTCATTTGTTTCCATTCCAAGCAGCTGATTTTTCAACTTGCCTGTTGATTTGATTTTTAGTCTGTGCTAAAAAAATTGTTGCATGAAGGGTAAATATACATTCAAACCTTACAATTTAAACTGAAAACATATTTTTAACTTCGATTGAGTACTTTTTGGGAAGTAGAAGTTCTAAAAAGAGGTGCATCGTTTTCAAGCAAATGCAACCACCAAACATTTATTTACCTTTTTATGTAAATATGTCAAAAACAGCTTTCTTAAACTGTCAAAATGCCATGAAGAGCTTTTATTTAGAGTATGTTCAATGTATTCCTATGCATTTGGAACATATTTGGAACGCATGCGATCGTCTTTGGAATGCCAAAAATACTAGTAATTTATTATTTGGCTATTATTATTTATTATTATTATTGACCTTTTTCAATTATAGTCACTGTAACGAGCTATTCCAAAGTAATTATACTTATAAAATGGTTAGAGAGCAGGGACTTTGTTTATAAGGCTTTCACAAAAGTCAATCCCATTTAATGAATAAAATGGATAAAATAAATTTATATACGAAAATATTATAATACCTATTTTATAAATACTTGCTTCACCCAACATCACTTTATTTTCAATATATACCATAGAGTACCAAAGAAAGGTATTCTTTAATGTTTTCTACAAAATATTGTTTGACATTGCATTTCTAATTTGTCCAATATCGTAAAAATATTTACGATATTAACACAAGCAGTGTTGTATAGTAAAATAATAATCATCAGATTTCAAATAAATCTCGTCCGATTTCACTTTAAAATGGAAAAATTTAAGATTTAGATAAAGATATATAAAATACTGTAACAAAAAACAAAATAGTAATAGCAACTGCGAAATATTTGCAATGATATATTACATAGCTTATAATAGAAATACTTGTTGATCAAAAATATTTACAAATAAAATAAAGCTGTAATTAAAAAAAAATTTGAAATAAAGACAAGAAATTAAATTAATTTTAATTTAATTAAAATAATTTTATTTCATTAATTCAAATCTAAAATGAAAAAATAAACAATTTTTTTTAAAAAATTTAATTTAAAAATCAATATAAAAAATTCTGAAACGCTTTTTATTTTTCTACTTGCTTCACTGTTTGCTTAGTTTGAAAATTTAAGTGTAAGTACTTAAACTTTTCTTAAGTAATAATTCGGATAAAATAAGCTGGAACATCCTATTATTTTGCTATCAGCTACTTTGTAGAAGGCTCTTTAATATAACAATAAAATATGTTACAGTTTTAATAATTTCTTTGGATTTTATTAAAAAATGTTAAATGCATGTGTGATTGCAGATAGAAATCTCTAAAAACTAAAATCTAATAACAAAAGACAATATGATTGTCATATTGTTTGGTTGAAAACAGGTGATTTGATTTGTTGTTTTTACTAATTTTTATTTATAACAATAATTTAAATTATTATATCGTTGTATTAGCTCAATACAACACAATATTGATAAAATTGATCATAAAAAATTTTATATAAAAATATAACTATAAAATATAAATACACTTAAAAATACAACTATAAAATATATAATATAAATATATATTATAATATGTATAATTTATATATAATTTATATATTTATATATAATTTTTATATTTATATAAAAAGATAAATATAAAAAATTTTAAATATAACGAATAAGTAAATAGCAAAAAATAAATAATTGCTAAAAAGTGGCAATTATTTATTTGTTTAATGAAATAATACCATGTTTTTACTTATCTCATTTAGGCAGTTTTACTCATTAACGCCGCTGATGATGATAATTTACCATACAAAAGCTAAATGAGCTTAATAAATCATCAGCATAAATCAACAGTCTTAAGGCGAAAAATGTCAAATGCAACCCTTTAAAATAAATTTCCCACATGGAAATGATTAAAATTTAAAATATTTGTCATGTTTTATTATAAAATGTAAACAAACATGCTATTTCACATGCTCAAATTAGCTTATGCCAATGGAAACGCCCAAATTTTAATTTCATTAACATATGTAGTTTTAGCTGCAGTGGAAACATGACGAAGGTTAGGTTATACTGACAATCCCTAGAGGATCCACTTAGGCTTATTGGTCCATTGTGTTATCGTATATAGAGGAAAACTCAGAGTTCAAGAAACATGACATCAATTTTATAAAAAAATACACCGAATTATTACTTAGCAATATACATTATTCTAAAATTGAACTCTTTGTGCTTATTTTTTAATATTTTTGAAATGCGAATTTGAAAAATTCCAATTTTCTTTTACTAGAAAGATTAGTTTTTCTACAGTTTCGTCTTCCATTGTTCTGCAAATTTTTAACAAAATATCTTAAAACTAATTGGGTTAAGGATAAAGGATAAATTTATAGAATAAATATTAAATATAAATATATATTTTTATGTTAATTTTGTCTTGTCGATATATTTTTATTTAATTATACTGTTTGAATAGAATGGTGCAGCTAAAGCTTACTAATACTGCATTCACACGAGAGTTTTAATTGTAATTTTAACTGCTATTTCAAATTATTTTTGATTTCGATAGCAAAACTAACTCAAATCATGTATGGAAATTTTGCCAACTAAAAATAAACTTGAATCGTAATTTCCATAAAATCAAGTTTACTTCAACTTGAACAGTTTACCGTAGTACTGTGTGAAGTACAAAGTTGTACTATTGTGAATAGTTTTGAATAATAAATGAAATTTTTGTGCCAAAACGAAACAAAAGTATTTATTTGTTAAAACTGTATTGGTCTGATATGTATATCACATGTACAAGTTAAATATTTTGTGAAAGTCGCTAAAAAGTGTGGACAAATAATAAATCTCACAATCAAATTACTACAATACGTTGTGTTAATCGATATTTTTGCTTTTTGATTTCGAATGTCAATTCAAAATTTTTGATAGCTAAAATTACAATCAAAACTTTAATGTGAATTCAGTAAAAAATAGCTATAACGTTACAAAATAAATTTAAATGTACATTATCTTGAATTTGATTTCCAAGCTACTACTCTCTTCACAATATTTTTGTAAAGTGGATTTTAATGAATACAAGTTATTATATATTTCTATGCATCTTGTAAATATCTTATACTAATTTTAGCTGTTATGTTTGTAATATTGGCTCTCAATTGTTATTGCTTTCAATGCAAAATGAAAATTTTTGACAGCTAAAATTACAAACAAAAATCTCTTGTGATTACAGTATTATAAAATTTCTTGCATATTTGCGAAAATTTACAGACTTACTAACACCGCGTTTTTGAATCTCAGAATGGTTACAGGCTCCTCGGGGGGTATGAAGATCTGAGGTCAATTATTGCTTAGTCCGATGAAGTAATAAACAATAATCCAGTCGAGGCGTAAAGAGGGGTTTTGAAGATATCTCGAGTTAATAAAGGGTAAAAGTGTTCAAGTGCACTGGCTCATATAGCTTCAACATATATTATCGTGTAATTACACATAGTTCGTGTTAGAAATTTGTATACATTTTTAGTACACATATGTGAAATATTTGAGCTGGCAATGCTGCTCTTCAAATATAAGCTGACATATTCAGTTTTTCGACCATTTCGCTTCTCGCTTCTTTTGTTCTTTCGTTTTGCGTTGAATTGTCACAAGTTTTTCTTCTGTCGTTGTCGTGTGTCGAGTGTTTGCGGTGAGATGCAATCAAATGTAAAAATTTAAGAATTAAAATAATACTTTATAAGTATATTTACAATACAATAAGAAAAATTGATACTTCGAAAAGTGTTTATAGATTTTTAGTGAAAATATAAGAATATTTTGAAAGTGATATAGAAAACAAGATAAATATAGATGGTGTATTGTGTAAATTTCTTCAAATAAGCAAATGTGAAAGAAAAGTAAGAGGAGAGTGCAAGGAAAAAGTGCAAATTTTTTCTTATTAACGAAAAGCATTGAATTTTTTCTTTTTCGGTTTATAAATTTTATGTAAAGCAATGCGAAGCGCAAAAGACCTTTTACACTATGTAAATGCACCAAAATAAATTTAGTTCTAATAGAAAAAAATAAAAATACTTAATTCAAAAAAAAAAAAAAAT